AAGTTTCTCAGCAGATTTGGGCTGTACTCAGCAAGCGCAGTACAGCCCCAGCTCAGATAAAATAAAAAAAAAACACAGTGAATGGCTGTTTTCTGACTGGTCGGGAGGCCGCCGATCGGTCAGCCCCACTGGTTGGCGGTCGGGGTCGGCAGCTATGCAACCCTGCTGTTGGCCCATTTTTTCGGCCGTGAAGACTGATCATGTCCGTTGTAAATTGTGATGATTGATGATCATAGAACACCAAAACTCGGTCCTTGAGGACATCCGTTAAAATTGGAATGATACAGTGAGAAGAGTAGCATGACCGCGTAAATCGAGAAATGATCCAAATTGTAGAAAAAAACAGAAACCGCTGAAAGAAACGAAACTCAAGAGTCCTGCCGAAAAAAAAACCAAAATTGAGAAATCACATTTTGTTACTCCTCCCGCAACATACATACAAAGGACAAAATCAATGTGCATTGTGCACAAAGTTTTGCCTTGTTTTCTGGTCGTTCGGTGGTGCTTGTCATCTGTGACTTGAACTTATTCTCGACTGTTTCGGTTTTTGCTTTTTGAATGACGGTACCGTGGTAACTTCTGAAGAGTTCTGAACACCCTTTCAGTCTGTGGCGGTAACTTCTGAAGAGTTCTGAACCCCCTTTCAGTCTGCGGTGGTAACTTCTGAAGAGTTACGAACACCGTTTCAAACTGTGGTGGTAACTTCTGAAGAGTTACGAACACTTTTAGTCTGCGGTGGTAACTTCTGAAGAGTTACAAACACCCTTTCAAGCTGTGGTGGTAACTTCTGAAGAGTTACAAACACTTTCTGTGACTTTTTTTCTGTGACTTGCAATGTGCATTGTGCATGAAAAAAAAAGTGATGGGAAACAGTCTGCGGTGGTAACTTCGGAAGAGTTCTGAACACTTTTGTCTGCTCTTTGCGTGTGCGTTTTTTTGAGTGCATCAGATCCTGTGGCAAGGACAAGAAGCGATCGCGGAGACTTTGTCCACTGAAGAATGGGATGACGGTGCCGGAATCAGGGTTGTTGAGAAGCCTGCATATTCAGAGGGAGGATCACTTTGATCCTGTACTGGGGCACACAGAAGTGATGTGCGCTGGTGGCGTGCTGCTTTCTCGCATTCTGTTCTTTGGCGCGAAGACTGAAGGAAGCCAGAGGAGAAGTCGGAAAGTCCACTGGTCAAGCGCACTCCGTAATGTTTCACACAACTTCTCAGCAGCAGCCAGCTTTGGATGCCCCACCTGTTTGAAGCGGGGGGGGGGGTGCCGATCCAACCCCCTGTTTCTCTACCTCCTCCTTTTGCTTCCTTTGTAGCCCACCCCATCGCCCCACTATAGAACAGACCCTCCCCTACCACCCTCCTCCTCCGTTTTGCCCTGAAATTCAATGGAGGTAATTCCCATCCGCTGTATCTGGTTCTCTCTTCTCATGCCCTTCAACTGAAACATCACACATAACCTTACCTTGTTTCACCCTTTGGATTCCCTGCATGTCTCACTTGTCTCTGTCCCTCTTCGTTCTCTCCTCTCCCCTCCTCTCCTCCCCTCTACCCCCCCCCCCCCCCCCCCCCCCTCTCTCTCTCTCTCTCTCTCTCTCTCTTGCCTTCAAGCTTGCCTATCTTCAAAATCAACTTGGTGAGCACCACCTTTTATAATTCCTTTGTCAATTGTTCTTCCTCGTGCTTATGAATGTTTTTTTCAAGTGGCTTGGCGCTTCTTCCTTGTACTCATGAACGGTGACTTCGCACTCCATCCTTTGAACCTTCAAGGGTTCTTCATGGCTCTCCTTAAATGGGGGTGCAGTGAGCTCCTCGCATGTGTATTCTAGCTTCTCAGGGTCTCGTAGTCATTCCTCAACTTCATCTTAAAAACTGCAAGTGGCGAATTTCGCATCTTTCGCCGACTCTTTTACTCTCATAGAGGCGGCAGTGGTTCCAGCAAGCTGCTTAGAATGCTTGAACTTTAAACAGATGGGATGTTTGTAAGTACATGCCTGTCATCCGCGTTGCACTTGTGATTGACCTGAGATGAGCTTTGTCCACATGAGGGTCGGTCGTTGGCAGAAGGGGGGTTGTTTGTACATATCATTACAAAGAAGTAGTCTTTTCCTCTGTGGAAGCACAAATGAAATCAAACCATGAAGGGCTCTCTCTCTCTCTCTCTCTCTCTCTCTCTCTCTCTCTCTCTCTCTCTCTCTCTCTCTCTCGCTGTGTATAAGAGACAGGGGCAGTTCTGTTTGTGACGATATATATATATATATATCGTCACAAATAGAACTATATATATATATATATATATATATATATATATATATTTGACGATATATGTATCGGTGAAACTCCGACGAAACAGTTTGTCACAGCCCCTCGTTTGTTGTCCTCTTCTCTCTCTCTGCCTACGGTTTTACCGGGCAGTTCTGTTTNCTCTCTCTCTCTCTCTCTCTCTCTCTCTCTCTCTCTCTCTCTCTCTCTCTCTCTCTCTCTCTCACACACACACACACACACACACACACAGTGTGCGTGTGTGTGTGTCTCTTTCTTACCTCCTACATCGATCTTCTTTTCTTGTTCCTTTTTCTCCGCATTTTTTTCTTTGTTGCCTTTGTTGACGAACCTCCCGCGTGCTTTGCAGGAGTTGTATGCCCAATTTGCTGGTTTCATGATAAACTCAGCTACTTCACTCTTTTTTATGACAGATATTGTTACGGATGTTTTGCTTGGCTCTTTGTCTTTTCAGGTAAGCTTGGTTTTGTAACTATGTACATTCCTGCTGTACATCCCTTACATGTACATTCCTTGTGTACAATCTGTTTCGTCTATTCGTTGTGTACTACTGTTATGCACTCTTTTTCCTTCCGTGCATGATGTGATTGTGATGGCGGTCACCGGAAGGGCACGGCTTGTACCCCTTTCCCGTGCAATGGGTATAGTTACGGCCTGCCTAAGGTTGGCCACACCCGAGCGGCTGCCCCCATGCCCACTCACCTCTTGTTCCATGTTCTTTGAGATAATCCTTCTACGCTGGTTTATGCATATGTCAACTGCTTGGTGACATATTTTTATGTAGGCACTGTTGGTCTGTTGGTGCAAGGCTCCTGGCATTGCTGCTGTGAGCACACTCATTGGGAGATGCAGTTTCATATTCGAACAGAGCGCCCTCTTTGACAATGCTGCTGGCGGTGAATAGCAGACAGAAAGGACAACGGCAGGATCCGGCCTTGAGCCGTCGGGCCTAAAGTCCTTTCACCTTGTGCACACACCTCCATTTTTTCGCATTGGAAAGTTGAAAAATCGAAAAATAATTGTTCCATAACCCATCAACAATGAATCTACAACTAAGGAATAATTAAGGGACTACCTCGATACTTCCCACCCCTCTCGGGAGGTTTCCTGCCGATGGCATGGCAGGTGCTATACCAAGCTTTCCTCTTGGACATTATGTTTCGTTTGCTCATGCTCACATGTCAAACCGCCAGGCATCTGTCTCTCATCGTGTAGATTGGCGTGCGCACCTGGAGTGGAATGCTAACTTGTATTCTGTCGGAGGTTGGCGCAAGAAACAACTCTGTCTTCTTAACAGTGTTGTGCAGGCAGAGCGATTTGAGTTGCAACTGCGAGGTGTTGATCAACAACCCCTTGAACCAGGTATGGACCCCCTCACTGTTCGAGGAGTGACTTATGCAATTGTTCATGTGCCTTCAGGACGTTTTTATGTTGGACAGACGATGCATTCTGCACATCAACGGCTGCAAGAGCATTGGCATACACGACGCTATTCTGCTGCTTTTCGCCACCGCCATCTCTATCGTGCAATGTGTGGGCAAGCAGCATTCAACTTCACTGCTTGGCCTTTGGAATGCATCGGTCCTACCCTTCATCATACGTGTGAAGGTCTTGTTGATCATGCCCTCTTTCGGCAGGCTGCTGCACCCTGCGAGGGTTTCTGGGTTCGTGAACTTCGAACTCTTCACCCGGTCGGTTTCAATGCAGCCATTCCAATGGCTAGACTGCCATCTCCACGACGACTTTTCCGCCCTCGTCGTTAGACACAAATGGGCTCTCGCCCCTTTGCTCAGCCCCCTCTACCTCCTCATGCCTCAGCTCCTCCTATTTCCCTCCCTACCACATGTATTGTTGCTTCATCCGTTCCTGCACCAGCTGATCCTTCTCACATAGCACCCCTTTTACTAACACCTGTTGGCTCTTATGCTGCACCCCTTTTATCTTCACCCATTCACTGTTTACCTCTCTTGCCAACTCCTTTGGTTAGGTCCTTTGCTGTTGATCTTCGCCCGGGTCCCCAACTTATGATTCGTACCTCATGCATCGTCTTCTCACTGAAGCTGCTTCGGGTAACTGGTGTCGTGTCAAGGCTGATATTGAGCAAGCAGCACCAGCATGGCAGGTACGACTTTTGCAATGGCGGGTACGACTTTTGCAATGGCAGGTATGACTTTTGCAATGGCTTTACAATAATGTTTCCAATGCAGACACGACAACAGACATTCGAGAACTCAAATGCCTCATCCGAAAATCGCAGCATACCCACCAACGTTACACAGCACAACCTTGTGACCCATTTACTGACCACATCAAGGTCGTACATGCGCATGAGGTAGCTCATGTTACAAAATTGCGTCATGTGTTACAATTGCCAGATGTAGTTGCATTGCACCCGGATCCTCAAGCAGACACACATGTTCGTGTACGTGACAGACTGACGTCACCCACGTGTGTCCAGTTTTGTAACTTCATTAATGTGGCCTTGAGTGTTACTCCTGACATGACCTTACCTGATTCCTCTGATTGCGAATGTTGCGCAGTCTTTCTACATTGTTATGATCTTGTGGATGACCATATTGTGTCTGTTGACTACAATATCATCTTTGATGATAGCCTTCACAAACTTTTTCAAGAAGGCTCGAAGTATCAACTGAATTGGGAAACTGCTGATGTGCTCCAGGCACTGGCAATTGGACTAGATGAGTACATTGCCAATTACAAAAGGTTGTTGGCCGGATATTCTCGATCTGCTTCTTTCTCCTCTCATTCTCAGAAGTTGAACAACTAGCGTTCTGCAATCCTTGCACATTGTCAATCCAACGCATCTTCGTTCTCCAATCATGTGAGCCAGCCACGTTCACTACGTTTTACACATGCCTCCGTGCACCATCTTCGACAACACTTTGTCATTGTCCTTGTGGACAAAACATCACACAATTTAGCAATTTGCTGCAAGAATTGGTATATGTTTCATCTCTCAGGCAAATTTGGCCATTTGGACAGTCCCACTTATACTCGTCCTCAAAAGTCTGTTGCTGATGTCCTCTACCACCATGCAGTGTGGAATCACAATTGGGGTTACACCCACACTGATACCCTACCTTACCTTTACTGTGTACTTAAAGCTCACAGTCTCCCTTAGCTCTTCGCAGCATTCTTGGAGTCACAACACAAAATGACAGCGTTGTTCCCTCGCATGCTTGCCCTCGTCCAACAATTCGCACCATTCATGAACGGCCTCCTCACAAACCTTTTGTTAGCACAACGACTTCTTCGTCGTATCTCAGCGCTGCTTTGCAAGGAGTGATCTCTACTTTTCGCGAGAAAGACACTGAGCCTTATCAACAAGTTGGTGCTCGACGATGTTGGATCGTTCAGAGTGCCGATGAAATGGCGATTGCCCTGAAAAACAATGCATCGTCTCTTCCTGGCCTCTCTCCTCGCACAGTTGATTTTACCACAATGTACACCAACCTTCCTCATGACCGCATTCTCAATAATGTGGCAAGAACTGTTGATGGAGCTCATGCTTATGCCCTTCGGCAAGCTCGCGCGCATTCACGCTGCGTTACGCTTAACATGGTTATTCGAGGACCTCGTTGTGGCAAATGGACAACTGATTCAGGCCCGAATACCCTTTCTGTTTGTCAGATTCTCTAACATCTTCGCTTTGTTGTACAAAACACTTTTGTATATATAAGAGATGACACACTTCGGAAATAAATTATCGGTATTCCAATGGGAACGAATGCTGGCCACAAAAATTTCTAATCTGGCGCTGTATTGGGATGAAGCATGCTTTGTTGATGACATTCGTCAACATGATCTTCAAGCTGCTCAACAATATGCCTTCACCTATTGCCTCATTGATTATGTTGTTTCATGGGGACAATTACCTCGTCCACCAGAGCACTACGGGCTTGAGTGGAAGGAGACTACAGCTACAGATGGCTCCTTTACCTTTTTAGGTATGCATTTGTGGGTTCATTCCGATGACTCGCTTTGCATGAGCGTCTTTGATAAAGCGGTTGCTTGAGACTGCCCTGTCATTCGTTATCCAAGTGCGACCTCCAACATCTCTTCCCGTCAACCGACTGGTGTGTTCATTGGCCAATTGACCAAATTTGAATAAATCTGTAACAATTGGCAGGACTTTCGAACTGCAGCAACAACACTTGTTGTATGCTTTCGCGTGGCATTCCCCACCAACCCTTGCTAAGGGGTGGACCTGCTACATGCGCTCCCGCCAACGTCGCTATCCTACGCATGTGACGCGTTTCACTCAGTTGTTCCGACGTATGCTTTCAATGGTCCTTGTATCATCCAATTTCTTTTTCACCCCCACGATGCTCTCGTTCTGCCTCTGCTTGCTCATTTGCTGCTACCGCAGTTTCCACCGCTGCAGTCTCCACTCTTGCAGTTTCCACTGCTGCAGTCTCCACTCTTGCAGTTTCCACTGCTGCAGTCTCCACTCCCACAGTTTCCAGTGCTGCAGTGTCCACTGCTGCAGTTTCCACTGCTCCAATGTCCACTGTTGCGGTTTTTACTGCTGCGGTTTCCACTGCTGCAGTTTTCAGTACAACAGTTTTCCTAACTATAATCCCCCCTACTTCTGCTACAACTTCCTGTACTGCAGCTCTAATACAAAGAACATCACAATCGCTCCGACGCCCACGTCCTTTTCTTCGAAATCTTGCCCAATGCACCTCCCTCTCATCTTTGTCTGTGCTTGGCCGTAGACGACTGCATTCCTCCTCACCACCCGCATCTCCTCCACGGTCTCGCTTGCGAACAGACTCTTCCTGTTGTGTATCACCGACGACATCCGTGGCATCATCACTTGTTCGGGGATCAGCAACCT